CTACTTGTGAAATAACCAATTGTAATTCCAAGTAAAAATAGTGGGAAAAAAGAAGCCAAATAATAATAATAATAATAATAATAATAAAAATCAGGTTCTTGCATACCTTAATCCAGCGATTGGTTAGATAGCAGTAAAAACTCAAAAATGGAAGAAAAACACACAAAGAAAGAAAAAATGTTAAATCCTGGAACAGGCGGAAAAATAAAAAATAAAAAACTAAAGAAGAGAAAAGAAAAGTTCTTCAGGTTCTTCAACACCTTAATCCAATTAAAAAGTCTCAGGTATAAAAGCATGCATAACAAAAAAAGAAAGCCACAAAAAAAAAAAAAAAAAAAAAGGGAGGGAAAATAGAAAAAAAAAAAAAAGGGAGGGAGAGAGAAAAAAGAAAAGAGACTACTCCCTTAAAAAAAGAAAAGAAAAAGGAAGGAAATCATTAGACTTCAAAAACAAAAAGAAAGACAAAAACAAGTTCCAAAAGGCCAGAGATCCAAATAGCTATTACAAAAAGTAAGCTACTAAGGAGGGGGTTTGTTAAAGTAAGAAATAGCCCAGCTTCAAAAAAGTAAAAAGAGCACACTGCACCTTGTTTGGTTATCCAAGGGTTTTGTTAAAATGTATAACTCTCTTCTCCAGAGTCTTATTTATTTATTTATTTATTTATTTATTTATTTATTTATTTATCTATCTATCTATCTATCTATCTATCTATCTATCTATCTATCTATCTATCTATCTATCTATCTATCTATCTATCTATCTATTTATTTGATTTGCCAATTGTTTACAAGATAATAAGTATAAGTGTATACATAGTTGTGAATACATGAAATGGGTACATATAAGAAAAATAAAAGAAGAATAAGAGAAACAATAGGACAGGGACGGTAGGCACGTTGGTGCGCTTATGCACGCCCCCTACAGACCTCTTAGGAAAGGGGTGAGGTCAATAGTAGACAGTCTAAGGTTAAAGTTTTTGGGGTTTGGGGAAGAAACTACAGAGTCGGGTAGAGTATTCCAGACATTGACCACTCTATTGCTGAAGTCGTATTTCCTGCAATCAAGTTTGGTGCGGTTAACTTTGAGTTTGTATCTATTGTGTGCTCTTGTGTTGTTATGGTTGAAGCTGAAGTATTCATTGACAGGTAGGACATTGCAATGTATGATTTTATATACCATGCTTAAATCAGACCGAAGACGGCGTAATTCAAGGTTTTCTAGTTCTAGAATTTCAAGTCTGGTGGCATAAGGTATTCTACAACGAGTAGAGGAGTGGAGAACTCTTCTTGTGAAATATTTCTGGACTTTCTCAATTGTGCTAATATCAGATATGTAATGTGGGTTCCAGACTGATGAACTGTATTCGAGTATTGGTCTAGCAAATGTTTTGTATGCTCTGGTTAGTAGTGTGATATTACCAGAGAAAAAGCTACGTAGGATTAGGTTAACAACTCTTAATGCCTTTTTGGCTATGTAGTTGCAGTGGGCTCTAGCACTTAGATCATTAGAGGTGAGTATTCCAAGGTCCTTTACAGAGCTTGGGTCATCAACAAGATCTTGACTATTCAGCTTGTATTTTATTTTCTGATTTTTTTTGCCAATATGTAAGACAGAGCATTTATTTGTTGAGATTTGAAGTTGCCATTTGTTTGACCATTCTGATACATAGTCAAGATCTTTTTGTAGGGTAGCAGTATTGTCTGTGGTATTGAACAGCTTTACATCATCAGCGAAAAGAACACAATTGCTCTTAATATGATCACAGAGGTCATTTATGTAGAGTATGAAGAGAGTTGGTCCTAGAACACTGCCTTGGGGGACACCACTATTGACAGGTACAGAATTTGATAGGACGCTCCCAATTTTGACCATTTGTTGTCTGTTTGCCAGGAATGCTTCTATCCAGTTATTCAGTTGTCCAGAGATACCATAGGATTTTATTTTTAGGAGTAGTTTGTCATGTACCACTGAATCAAAGGCTTTACAGAAGTCTATGTAGATTGCGTCTATTGCTTTGCCCTGGTCGAGTTGTGTCGTCCATATGTTTTTGCAGTGTAAGAGTTGTAGATTACAGGATAGTTTTTTTCTGAAACCAAATTGTTTATTGGAGAGTAGGTTGTTTGTCTCTAAGTGGAGGATGATGGATTGGTTAATAATTGATTCCATGACTTTACAGGTGACGCAGCATAAGGAGATTGGTCTGTAATTTTCAACTAGGCTTGGGTCTCCCTTTTTGAAGATGGGGATGACTGTGGCTTGTGACCATAGGTTAGGCAAGGAGCTGGTCCTGAAAGATTTTTCAAAGATTATGCTTAGAGGTTTGGCTATGGCAGTGGATAGCTTTTTTAAGAAGTAGGCACATATTCCATCCGGTCCAGTAGATAGAGGTGGTTTTAGATTGTGTAGTGCTTTTTCAACATTGTCTTCTGTAAAATCGATATGTATTAGATCATTGTTGTTATCTGTGGTACGGCTAGGAAATACTGGGCATGATCCATTGCTGTTTACAAATACTGAGCCGAAGAATGTGTTAAAGATGTTGGCTTTAATGGTGTCGTCGTTGCAGTCTTTACCATCAGGTCCTATCAAGGGTGGGATAGACCTTGAGTCTTTTAGTTTGTTGTTTACAAAATTGTAAAAAGCACGGGTGGAATTGGTGCTTAGAAGGTTTTCCTCTTGTTTAATGTGATAATTGATGCATTCGGTCTTTATCTGGTGGCATAAATTTTTGTATCGGCTTTTGAAATTGGCAACGTGACCAGATTTGTTTTTCCGCCAGAGTGATCTCTTTTTGGATTGAAGTTTCCTTATTGTTATGGGTAATCTGCTTTTTTGTTTTGTTTTGGGAGTTGTTGTTGGTACATATAGTTTGATGACTCTTTTGACTTCAAGTAAAAATATGTTGTAATGGTCTTCAACAGTGTTGCATCCAGTGAATAGAGATTGCCAATCAAGGGATGAGAGATCGTTGTCTATAAGATCATAGTTGCCTTTTTTGAATTTACAATTGGGGATTACATCATTGTGGTGATTTTTGTGTGGGCGTATGTTGAGACAAAAGTCAATCATATTGTGGTCACTGCTGGAAAAGGGTTCTTTAGTTTGTATTCCGTAAATTAAATTCAAACTATTGCAGAAGATGAGATCAAGGCAGTTGTTTAGTCTAGTGTTGTTGGTTACTAGTTGTTCCAGTCCCAGATTTGTAATAGCATTGTAGAAGTGTGTATGATTTCAGTTGTACAATCATTTAGGGTCCAGTCAATATGAGGTAGATTGAAATCGCCAAGAAAGCTAAAAGGGTATGGGCAGGATGCAGCCCATGTTAGTAATGTATTTAGCTTGTTTACATGTTCGATGTCATAATCAGGTGCTCTGTAACATAGTAAGAATCGAATTGTGATATTTAAGGATAGTTCACAGATGATGGTCTCAGGAAGAGCAAGCTCCTGGGTAACTTGGATATTTTTTAGATGTAAGGACTTTTTATAGAAGATAGCAACACCACCTCCTGTACGAATTTCACGATCTGATCGGTAAACATGATAGTCTCTTACTGTGGTAATGGAGTCTTATTACCTTTTTTTTCTATAAACTTCAACACCAGACTCCAACTATTGATAGAAACCCAGAAGAGCACCTGCAACAATATTCTCCCATCCTCTTCCCTCTATCTTATCAAACAGGCAATGTCCTTGAAAAGAAGTCTCAGTTCTTTCTCAGCTTTGTCTGGTCAAGAAAAAAAAGAGATAGAATATTTCCAAGCCTCTAGTTGGCAGTGTTACAAAGTTTCTTCTGCTTTCACTTTCACCCTCCTTTTCCAAACAAGATATAATAAAAATTAATTAAAAATGGAAGAAGATATTTAAAAAGATGACTAGAAGGGAGTCTCTAGCCTAAAATATTATAAAGTCAAAAAAGAAAGAAAGAATAGGTGGAAGAAGAGAAAAAAAATAGTCCCGTTTCAAAATCTAAAATCATGTGTAAAAAATCCAGCAATGAGAAAAAAAATAAAAAAAAATATTACTTTGACTTCCTGTTTAAAATTGCTGCTTAATCACTTCTGTCAAAACTTTAACAGATTATTTCTTTTCCTTAGGGTGTCCTTTCAAATCTTAAAATAAAGAAAAAATTTTCACCAACCAGCACACTTTCTCTTTCCGTTCTCTTTCATTTTGGAGCTGTCCCAACTTCAGCAGCTTTAATGGCTGCCTCTTTGCCGCTGACAAAAGAGCTTCTCCTGTATCTACCAGGGACTTTGCGGTGTCCCTGGGATCTACAGGGTGCACTCTTTACATTCACCATCTCTTCGGGATGGTTTAGATCCGTTTGGACCGTCCAGGAGCAAAGATATCAGCAGCGATCTCAGATCTCCAAGATTGCATGCCGTATCGTCGCGATGCCCATTATGTGTCTATGTTTATAGTTTTGGATCTATGTCACTATTTTTTTATTGATTTATTGCCTGGAATTCATCAGTGAAAAATAGGAAGAGATCTAATAGTTGCCCAGCCAATAGTTGTCCATTACTTTTACAATATTTAGAAAGGATTTTGTGTCTTCCACTGAATTTTCCCTTGACAAGTGTTGGGGTCTAGTCCATCTGAAACTTAACCCTTCTCTAGTCAAAAACTCTGGACAATGACTGGACAATGTTTCCTTTATAGGTTTTAGAAATTACCACTCCTAATAAGGCTCAACATAAAACATCTGTTCTTTCAAAATGAGATAGAAATATCCCAATACTATCAAACATTGCAAAAGATAATTTAGTGTAGTCAAAGATATGGATACCAAAGAGGTTATGTGCCAAATAGCTGGATCTATATTGAATTTATGGCATAGAGAGGACAAGTTTTTTTTCTACAGATTGTCTATCCTTGGGGGGGTTTCAGAGTTTATTTTTGCTTATTGCTGTTGACAAAGATTAATAAATTGAAATGTAATAAATTGTCTCTTTGGAAATGCAGTCATTGTAACAGATGCATTACTCTCCCTTGAAGTTTATTACAACAGAACTACTTGCATATTTTGTCCTTGGTCTTTGCTGTAAAGGAAATCAATGAAAATTCTCAGATCTTGCCAAACATCACTCTGGGTTTTGGGATATTTAATAGTTATTTCATGGCAACGTGGACCTACCTTGCTTCTATGGAGCTTCTTTCTTCACATGACAGATTTGTTCCTAATTATAAATGCAGCACCAACCAAAACTCAATTTGTGTTATTGCTGGACCCAATTCTCATATCTCTCAGGTTATGGCCAACATTCTGAGCATTTACAAGATTCCACAGGTAAAACCTGCTTAAAGTAAAAGCAAAAATCCTATTGAAATGTGAGTTCCTCTTTACAGAAACTTTCTGGATTGGTTGTAAATTAATGTTAATCGAACATTAGTAACATCTGGCTTGAAAATTATGCTGAGTTTGAGGATCTTGTTTCCATTTTTTTTTAAAAAAGATAACAAGATGAATCTTTGCTTCAAAGAGACATTTTTTTCACTTTGAAATATCTCTGTTGATTTCCGTGAAACTAGTTAGGTAATAACAAAAACTAATCTGAGAAGAAATTGAAACATATTATATGTCTTGGAGATAAAAGTCATTCACTTATAATAAAGAAAGAATGTATGACTGAATGGTGATTTATACATTTATTTTGTAATGTGTATTTTATTCATACAAATATTTCAAAATATCATTTTGGTTTACCTGCAGATAACTCTTCTGTTGAAACTAGTAAGTTTTTTTCCTGATCCTTTGTTTTCCCTATCCCTCAGTGAAATCTGAAACAGTTCATTTGATAAGATTTGGAAATTGCCCCTAGATGGCAATTATAATTATACAGAAGATATAGAAGTAATATAATATAGTTATAATAATGGACAGGAGTACTACTTCCTTTTTAAAACAAGTTTTATTAATTTTTAAAACACACAAATTATCATTATTCATTACATGTTTAAACCTTTTTCCCTTATAAATTTAACAAGTCAGATAAATTATGATTCTGTTTTAAACCATTTCCATATAATATACCAAAACCTCTTATTCAATTTCTCTTTACTTCTCTTTACTCTTATTCAATATCATTATTATTATTTCATCTGTTTCTTTCTGACTTAGTTACCATTATTCTCATTCTATATTTCTACAAGTTTTTACCAATTCTCCCCCCAAAAAAGACATATACACACAACACACAAAACATAAAAAAAATATCTTTTTGGAAAGTAACTTGGACCCAGGTGTCTCTCTCTTCATGGACTTCAATTATATTCATGCTCATCTTACATATCATTACTTATTTTATTTACCATTCTAAGCCTTCTATATTAACTTCTCCACATATTTCACACTTCTTAATTCTACCTTAATTAATCATCTTAGTTTGAATCATTATATTTGTATCTTTTGTCCATTTTTTATCATCCCTTTGTCTCATCCCTTATAAAAAAAAAAGAAAATCAGTTTCTCCTGAAATCATTAATCAGAGTATGATGCCTTTCTATCTCCCCCCTAAGTTAATCAAATTAATCTTTAAAATAATATCTAATACCCAATCAGATTTTGCTTGGTACATTCTATCTAACTAATACATCCAACACAATTAAATGCATAATTAGAGAATAAATCCAAATATTAAAAAGAAATACTATAATAAAAATTTTATAATAACATCAATACCATAATTTTATTAAACTCTTTAATTAAAACAATATTCTAAACCTCTCCTATTATTAAGTTTTAATACCAATCATTTTTAAACATTTTAACATTTTAATCTCTTATCAACTCTTAAACCATTGCAATACTACCATCTCATCTTATGTACCTTGCAAAATCTTTTTTTTTTAAAAAAAATTATACTTTATCCATTATCCATAAAAAATTCCTTTTTTCCATTCAATTTCAAAACGTTGTAGCTTTTCTCCACCTTTTCCCTTTCTTTCTTTTCCCAACAAACCTTTCTACCCCCCCTTCTTCTAGCCTCTGCCTTACCGGCTTCCCTTCTCTGTCGTATTTCTTTTCCCCTTTGTTTACACTCATCATATTGGTTTTGCACTTTATTTTTCCCTTTCTTAAATGTTGTTTTAGATCTTAAGTCCTTAAATCCTTTAGTTTTCTTCTTTTCTCTTCTTTTCTTTTCTTTCTCTCTTCCTTTTTTCTGGATCAAATTCTGAGATTCATTAAAGATGGCTCCTTCCTTTCTTTCTTGTTCCTCTGCTGTCTTCATCTGTTGTAATTTTTGTTGATAATTAGTAAGCGCCATTTCTAAGAAAAGAAAAGCTTCTTCCACACCATTTCTCAGTTCCTCAACAGAAAGAGCCATTATAAATCTTTTCTTTTCTTTTCTCCTTCTTTCTTCTTACAACAACCAGAATATTCAAAAGAAAATAAAAAAGATAAAACAGTCCCAAAGTTATCAATCAGTCCAAACCAAGGCAGAGTTCTCACTTTCTCTTTCTGGGGTGATATCAATCAAAGAGAAAGAAAGTCCAAATCTGTTTAAAGTCTTGTTACAATATATTCTAGTCTTCAAATCCTTAAGGCATCTGCTCCAACAAATCTTAGCATACAAATATTTTCTTTTTAATCCTCTCTCTTCCCACTCATCGCTTAAATCCAATTTCCACCTAAAAAAATAGGTTTCTTAATATCCAGTTATTTATTCCGTAGGAAAAGAGGGAAAGCTATCCTTTCAGCACCTTCCAGCAGCCGCTTTTTTCCTCTTCTGGCAGGTATTATTCAGAAAGTCATACTATTCAGGAATTTTATTAAATATGTCTTAGAGTCCTAGGAGCCAAGAAAAACTTTCTCCTCTCAATCACTTTCTCCACTTCCTCCTGCGCATTCTTACCCGGCTGCCAGCTTCTTTGTGGCGGCCATTACGGACCGCCGCTGCACCGTCCTGGGAAAAGGGGGTTCTGCCGGCCAGGGAGGGGGTCTGCAGCACCCCCAAACCCTTCTCCGGATCCCCCTACCTTCAGCTGCCCCTGCAGGGCAGCCTAGCTCCGTACCCGGCTGGGTCGGAGCCCCAAAAACGGCTAGCGCGGCAGGGATCGCGCAGCTTCGCAAATCCCTGCCGCTCGCGAAGCCGACAAACCGGAAGTCCAGGAGTACTACTTCCGTGTCAAATATCTTTGGTTGATAAGAAGTAATAATATAATATAGATAGCTGTAGTTTAGATAATCACCGTTACAATAGTTTCACCCAGGAAAAAAATATGATTGCTTCAAGCAATGTGTTCATTCTACAACATATGCACCAACATTTTTTGTTCTTCAACCTGAACTTTTAGAAAAAAGTGTCTTATAAATATGATAGTGTTTCTTAGCAATCTTACAAAAATCATGTTAGAAAAGTCTGCTGTGATGTGGTAAGTTTTGTGAAATCATAAAGGAATAACAAAATAGTGCAATGAGGCATTATTTTTAAATTTTTAACTAATGGAAATTTGGTGTAAAAAAAACCTTAAGAAGTTACATAGATCATCAAATTCTGCCAAAGGAATTGTTTGTTAGCCATTTGTCTCCATTATTTTGTCTGGATGGAGCAGCAGTGTGGTGATTCCAAAGACACAAGAAGTGTGGTAGAAAAGAAATAAAAATGTTAGATCAATCCTGTACATCTACTCTAACCATTTTTTAGACCTCTCTGATGCTCCCTGGAGAGAGCCTATCTAGCAATAGCAATAGCACTTATATACCACTTCAGAGAGCTTTTCAGCCCTCTCTAAGTGGTTTACAGAGTCAGCATATTGCCCCCAACAATTTGGGACCTCATTTTACCCACCTCGGAAAGATGAAAGGCTGAGTTCACTTTGAGCTTGAGGAGATTTGAACTGCCAACTTGCAGGCAGCTGGCAGCCAGTAGAAGTAGTCTGCAGTTCTGCACTCTAGCTACTGCTCCACCATGGTTCTACATAATACTTCACTGTTTTCCCAAATCTAATGAATTCTGCCCACATTGAAGATGATCAAATTGCATCATAACATTTTTAGAACCAATGGATTTCCAAAAATGGTGACCATCTTGGGCCATTAATTTCAAAGAAATTAGAGTAACATCCTCAATGAGTACTATATAAGGCTTAAAATCAAAGTAACTGTATGATTTAGTCAGATTTAACTATATCAAATTCATATGCCTAATTTTGCATTTTCTTTTTCTCCTAAGTTCACATATGGCTCTGCTCCAGTGATGGATAATGTGATTCATACAGCTTTTGTCTATCAGATGTTTCCAAATGAACAACTTCAAATTACAGGGATTCTCCAGTTGCTGCTTCATTTTAAGTGGACCTGGATTGGGATAATTTTTCAAGAAAATGAAATTGGTGAACAATTTCTGAGGGAAGTACTTATCATGTTTTTCCAAAATGGAATCTGCTTTGATTATATTAAGGTGTTTCCAACAGTAGCTTTTTCAAATGAGATGGGAGAACAAATCAATAATTTTGTTAAAGTATGCAAAGTCATTATGAGAAGTACATCCAGTGTTGTGATTGTATATTGTGAGAATCAGGTCATGGCTCTTTTCAGAATGATCTCTGTTTCAGAATATTGGGAAGTCACAGTTGAGAGGAAAGACAAAGTTTGGATTTTCCCAGCCCAGATGGAGTATACTTCAATTCCATTTCAAAGAGACTGGAATATGGATTTTATCCATGGTGCTCTTTCTTTTGTGGTTTCATCAAAAGAAGCATTAGGGTTTAATAGATTTCTTCAGATGAGAAACAGTGTTTCCAAAAATGAAGACAGTTTTTCAAAAGTTTTTTGGGAGCAAGCCTTTGAATGCTCTTTCTCAAAATCCATTTTAAACCCAAAGTCGGAGAAATGGTGCACTGGGGAAGAGAAATTAGAGGCTCTTCCACACTCTGTTTTTGAATTGAGTATGACTGGACAAAGTTACAGTGTCTACAATGCAGTCTCTGCTGTAGCACATGGTCTACAAGCTTTCCTTACATCCCATTCCAAATATCACATATCAGCAGCAGATAGTGAGAAACAGAAGCTTTTCAATCATCATGTATGGAAGGTATGCTCTTTCTTTCTTTCTTTCTTTCTTTCTTTCTTTCTTTCTTTCTTTCTTTCTTTCTTTCTTTCTTTCTTTCTTTCTTTCTTTCTTTCTCTCTCTCTCTCTCTCTTTCTTTCTTTCTTTCTTTCTTTCTTTCTTCTCTCTCTCCCTCCCTCCCTCCCTCCCTCTTTTAATATTATCACAAATGACTTCAGGCAAAGAACATATCCAATGTATTTTCTTCCTCTTAAGCACCTGAAGGGAAGATAAAAAGAAATGAATAGCAATCAAAAAGACCTAGACTTTAGGAGAAATTTCCTGACAGTGAAAACAATTAATCAATGGGATAACTTGCCTTCAGAAATTGTGGGTGCTCAAACACTTGATGTTTTTAAGAAGAGATTGGACAGCAATTTGTTTGGAATGGTGTAAGGTTTCATGCTTGAACAGGGAGTTGGACTAGAAGACTTCCAAGGTAATTCCCAACTCTGTTATTCTGTATCCTGTATTCCTATTTTCCCCATAACAACATTGTGAGGTGAGGTGATTGGTCCAATGTCTCCAAGTTGGCTTTCATGCCCAAGGCAGGACTAGAACTCATGGTCTCCTGCTTCCTATTCTGCTGCCTTAACCTCTAGACCAAACTGGCCTACTAATGTAGGAGATGATTTTGCTTCCATATCTACCATTGTTCACAAATTTTGTAGAAACCAGTTTTAGCATAATGCTAGAGGAAGGACAGGTGGATCAGAATGCGCAGAAAATTTTATCCCAGCTTTTTTTAATTGCAAGAGGCTAGGTTTCTATGAATATTTAATGTTGAGAATTGGAAAAAAGGCCATTAGATATAGTAGAGTCAAAAACTTATTTTTGCTCTCACTTGTGATGACCTGAGACATGGCACAAAGGTAACACAGTCAGATAATCAGTAGAAGTCCCTTTATTAGCTCCAACTTTGTCCCCAATGTCCTGGTTACCTTCTGGCTGGAAAAAAAAAACTGTCCCAGGAACAGCCTTTGGCTGCAGAGAATCAAGTCCAAAATGTGGTCAACAAAAACTGTAACTATAAGTCAATCAAGGCAAAATGAGGTAATTAGTCTGATAGGGAAAGAGCAAGAATTCCAGACGTGAAGGCATGGCAATAACTCCACTTGGTTGGGAAGATGCCAGGAGCACAAATAAGCAAAGTCAACACAAGATAAATTCACATTTGCTCCCAGCAGCTGCCAAACTCTGCATGCATTTCTTTTAAACTCACTTCTCAGCTGTGGCTAATGATGGGAATCAGGGCCTCTTCCTTCCCTGTAAGCCATGCAACCCATGTTGCTCTCTTCTCCATTCCCCCCTTCATGCCCTAGGATGAAGAAGAGGTGGGCCTGGGTCTTGTTCTGGACTCCCTCTTCCATGTTCTGCCCAGCCAGTTTCCTCCACAACCAACGGAGCCACACTCCCACTCCCTGTCAGCTGTTCATCTTCCTCCTTGGAATTCAGATTCCGACAAGGACATGACATCTCTCTTTAGTATATTGGGAGAGATCTTAATAAGAAGGGAGCATTTAGTGACTCTCTAAAATATAAATGATAAATTCTACTGGTTCTGGTTTGCAGCAATAAAGTTAGTCAGTTAAGCAAACTATTGTGTGTCCCCCATATCTGAATGCACCAAATATCACATTAAACAAGAGGAAAACCTTCTGCGCACCAATTCCACCCGCACTTTTTACAATTTTGTAAACACCAAACTAAAAGACTCAAGGTCCATCCCACCCCTAATAGGACCTAGTGGTAAAGACTGCAACGACGACACCATTAAAGCCAACATCTTTAACACATACTTTGGCTCAGTATTTGTAAACAGCAATGGATCATGCCCAATATTTCCTAGCCAAACCACAGACAACTACAATGATCTAATACATATTGATTTTACAGAAGACAATGTTGAAAAAGAACTACGCAATCTAAAACCATCTCTATCTATTGGACCGGATGGAATATGTGCCTACTTCTTTTTTTTAAAAAAAAAAGTTTTATTGATTTTAACAACGAACAAAAGCACATAAAACATAAAACATAAAAGCATCATCCTCCTTCATAAATTTACAGACAGTGTATCGGTTGGTTTACCACTTTTTTTGTTCATCCATTTCATAGTCTCCATTGTAGTTATATTAAATAATAGCTCATATTATCAATCAACAATTATATAGCCTGATATCATTATTAAACAATCATTTGACTATAATTTTATTAATTCATACTTTAACGAGATAACTATAATTTACTTAATTTAATTTATAACAAATCATAAAGTCATACCAAGTCTATCTTAATAAAATTTTATAAAAATAGTATCAAAGAAAGAAAAAAAAGAAAAGAAAAGAAGTATATATTCATTATTTCCTAAGTTTCTAAATATTCTATTATCATATGTTATTATCTAGCCATTGATAGAAAAGGTCCCAAACTTCATAAAATTGTTTATCTTCTTGTTCTCTAATTTCAAATGTCAATCTACTCATTTCAGCACATTCCAATATTTTCTTAATAATTTCTTCCTCTGATGGTATTTTCTCACTCTTCCAATTTTTAGCAAATACAATCCTAGCCGCTGTTAATACATTTACAATCAAATACTTCAAATTTTTATTATATATATCAGGTAAGACTCCTAATAAAAAAATCTCCAGTTTCAACTCTATATGTTTCTTTGTCATTTTTTCCAACCATATGCGAATTCTAGTCCAATATTTTCTAGCGTCCTCACAAGTCCACCACATATGGTAATATGAGCCAGGTATCTGATGACATTTCCAGCACTTTTCAGATTTATTCTTGAACATTCTTGCTATTCTTGTCGGGGGGAAATGCCACCTGTAAAACATCTTATACAAATTTTCTTTATATGCTGTTGACATTGTCATTTTATAATTTTGAGACCACAATTTTTGCCATTTCTCTAAATCAATCCCATATCCAAAATTCTTCCCCCAAGCAATCATCGTTTCTTTAACTTGTTCTTCCTCTAATTTAATTTCCAGCAAATAACTATATAATTTTTTGATCACTTTTTCATCAGTACCTGACAAAATCCTATCTAGGTCAGTCAATTTATCATAAAATCCCTCTGTTTTAGAATCTTTAAGATACCTTGAGTGTATTTGCGCATATGAAAACCAATTCATCTTTATACCTTGTTCTTCTAGATTTTGCATCGTTTTAAGTTCACCCTTTTCATCCAATATTTCCCCATATCTAACTGTTTGTTCCTTCTTATATGTTATAGGATAAGAAAAAGCTTCAATAGTTGATAACCAAACTGGGATTTTCAAATAACATTGTCTCTTAATTTTCTCCCAGTTCAACCATAAAGACTCCCGTATATGATGTCTTCTAAAATAGCCCTGTGTTTTAGTTCCCTTATACCACAGAAAAGCATGCCAGCCCAGTAATAAATCATGTCCTTCTAATGTCAACAATCTAGTCTTTCTTAATGTTATCCATTCTTTGGCCCACATTAAATTTGCAGCTTGGTAGTACAACTCCCAATTAGGAAGGCCAAATCCTCCTCTAGTTCTAGCATCTTGTAAAAGTTTTAATTTTATTCTCGCTTTCTTACCTTGCCATATATA